AGCGTATAAAATGCTTATATATATAATGTATATCATATAATGTATAATAATAATTCGAGGCTTATAATGTACAACATATCTTATATATATGCGGCTTAAATGTTTGTCGCCGATAGTTTATTGGTTGCCTGCGTAACTGTAAATTGTTTTATTCCCCGTGCAGTCCAGCGCGTGACGAATATTATGAGAAAGCTAGGCCGAAAAAATTAAAAATGCAAGAGTACGTACATTTAACATTTAGTAAATAAATTTAACAACTATGTATAATAGAATTCGGAAATATACAACCGGCAACGATGAGGAAACAAATAAAATGAAATAAATAAATATCTTTATTATATGCGGCTTAAGTGTCTGTTTGTCGCCGATAGTTTATTGGTCGCTTGCGTAACTGTGCTAGCCAATGGGGTGAAGTTGCCACGGCACAGGATTGAAATGCAGACAATTTCCTGTAAAACTTGCCTTTGCTATGACCATCAATAAGTCCCAGGGCCAAGCGCTTAAGGCATTTTTTTACCTGAGCCTGCATTTGGACACGGTCAACTTTATGTTGCTTGTTCAAGAGTTCGTGAAAGAACGGACGTAAAATTAAAAATAATGGATGGTCCTCTGCAAAATGATGGAAAAAAATAATGGAAAGATCTACACAAGAAATGTTGTGTACAAAGGGATCTTTGACATGTAAATTAACATTTTATTATTTAAATCACCTTTATTTAATGAGATAGCGGTGGGTTTTAAGAAATGTACCCCGCAGTGGTTTCCTTCATTACACTCTACTTTAAGCAATTAAGTAAGTAGAAGTGGGAAACCCCCGGGGAGGGGCAATAAGCAAAGGGGCATCCTCGCCGCCTGCCGTGGGTAATTCAGTTTGAATTAGCAGACACCTTTGCACAAATCATTTTAATTACAATTATAATATCTAAATAATAAATAATAAATATTTAAAGTAATAAATAATATAATATGATTAATAATAATAGTAATGAATAAAATTAATTAAATACCGTCCATTAATATTATATTAATAATAATATATTAATAATAAATATATTCTAGAATATAATAAATATAATTATATCAAATAATTCAAGGCTTATAATGTACAACATATAATGTTTATTCTGAGTAAAATTACGCTACTTCTGGTTCTGGAAAAGCTATTTCAGCATGTATGTAAAATATCAAAATCGTAGTATTAGGTTTTTTCGTGTATTTTTATGAATAATATGAATATGAGTCATTTCCCTTAGAAACTCCTTAACAAAGGCATCCATTACCTTAGATAAATAACCGTGTTGTCTTATCCCTTCTTATCTAGATAAGCAATATTATATACCTGGTGACCCAAAAGTCCGTTAACATCTGAAAATGCAACAGTTCACTGAATAGTGTAGGTAAAGAGATAAAAACCGGTACATGTGCTTGAAAAGTCATGGGGTTTTATAAACAGCTAAAACGTGCTTAAAACGGTCAACAGATGGCGCTTCATATGATAACAAAAGCAATAATTAACATAACATTTTATTTTTAGCAAACATCATGTTCTTTATAACAAATGTTCAACATGTTGGCAGTCATTCATCAACAATACCTCTAAACGGGGGGGGGGCGATGCTGTGAACAGCACTGTACAACATATCTGTAGATAGAAATTGCCACTGGATGTTGTCTTTTAGCATCACTAGTCAGATCGAACGACTGCGGTACAAGTTGTGATTTCAGGTAACCCCACAACCAATAATCGCACGAATTAAGATCTGGGGATCTGAGAGGCCAAGCATGACAGAAGTGGCGGCTTAGCACGCGATCCTCACTAAACGGTGGGGGCAAGAGATCTTTCACACGTATAGCAATATGGGGTGAAGCGCCTCCTGCATAAAAGTCATACCTTCCAAAAGGTGTTTATTAGCCAGACCTAGGATGATGCGATTCTGTAACATATCAGCGTACGTACCTCGCACCCATCACACTGGGAGTTTGAGTAGCAGAACCAAGCATTTCTTCGAAGAAAACGGGTCCGATCACGACTCACGTAATAAATCCACATCACACCGTGACTACCACCGGGAGGCGATGAGGATAGAAAGTGACAAAGTCATGAATGGACTGATTCCCTCTCTTCCTACAACTCATTTCACGTATGATTCTCATGTGGCGTCACTGACATTCTGCTGCCCAGCGCCATGTTCTCACCTCCCCTATAAAAACCCCATGTCATTTTAAGCATATGTGTCAATTTTTACCTCTTTACCTACATTAATCCGTAAAATTATTGAATTTCGAAATGTTAACGCACTTTTGGGTCACCCGGTCAAAAAAATTATTTTTGTATGCAAGTGGAATTTTTCTAATATGTCTCCTTTTGCCTTTAATCTCGTAAACCATTTTATACATATATTTTATATGTGTATTTTTTATTTATAATAATTAATTTGATTTAAAAAGTTACGCCTTTATTTAAGAAAAGGAATTGCAGAAACATTTGAAACCCTTTGTTGAGCATGTCAGTATTAAATTCTTGCTTTAATTATTCTTGCGTTAACTATTCTTGCTTTAATTATATTACCTTTTTTACTTTAATGGATTGATTTCTATCATATTTGGAGGAATTTTTTTAGTAGATTTTATTTTGTTCGTCTACGTATATTCTGAGCATTTTTATTTTGTAACGATTATATTTTAAATTTTGCATTATTAAATTCTTGTTTCGTCTTACCTGAAAGTGAATCTAGTTGAACATCTAATGAACATTTGTTTAGAAAACATAAAATGAACACAATTAATCGCTTCACAAAGAGCAAATATGCTATATGCATATTATCCGCAAGGATTTTGTTATTTTCGAGGATGCTTAATCTAATAATTGAAAATTATTAAATTAGTTCAATAGATTTCTGCCTTAGGTTCTAAATGTAATTATAAAACTATTAATATTAATAGCCGCCCAATCGGTATAGCGGTTAGCGTTACTGACTGCCATGTCGAAAGGTCCGGTTTCGAATACCGGAGAAGACATGATGCGGCATAGGGGCACTCCAAATATGCGGCGAGCCGAAAGTTCTTTCGAGAGGCTGGTGGTAGGGGAAATGGGGTAGAAGACTCTCAGACCCGTTACCTCGGGGTGCTCTCCATCAAAATTGCAGCTAAGTAACCTGTAACTGTCACCTGTAAGATGCTCAAGGCTGTTGCCAACGACAGTCGTAATCTTGCGCTTCTTGCCACGAGGAATTTCGTGGGCTTGTCTGACGTATAGTCAGACAAGTGAGCATTAGTCAACAACAATAATAATATTAATGAAACTATTATTCATTAATTGTAAAGGAAAATTATAGGCAACATTCCTTGATTTTGGACAAAATTGAATTCCTTGCATTTTGGACACAGAAACAAGTTTCTCCAATTATTTTTTTTCTCTGTTTCCTTTAGTTTTGCTTCAAAATCGTGCTTGTAGCTAATACCCAAAATTGCTTTAATTTGAGAAAATTCGCTTCTTCTCGAATTGAAACAGGGAAGAGAAGTTTTAAGCACATTATTAAAATTCTAGACCATGGTTATTGATCAGATCAGTTGCATGCAGCTTTAAGCTGTGATTTGATACTCGAGAGAAATTTGTAGTCAATCAGGAATCATGTGATACGATCTAATATCGCGCAAGGAACTGCGTTGCTCATCTTTTTTCATTTCTCCCTGATTTTCCTTCTCAGAATTCTTAAGTTACTAAGCAAAACGTGGGAATTTCTCACTATGAAATTTTAACTGCAAGAACTTCAAGGAATTCTACACAATATATTGTTTGTAAAGCTTGCACAGAAATTAATTCGGATTTTGGTATTAGATATATTCAAATAGTTTATAATATTTATATTGTCTTTAGTAATGGCTGTTGTTTTATTAGCCCAAAGGGGCAATTTACCTATAAGGGCGATTAATTTCGTATTGCCATTTTGAGTCGTCTCGTCCACTATAAAACGGCGTTAAACTTGTCAAATTGTTGCCACCAAATATTAGAGCCCTGCATTGTATTTAAAGAAATTAAATACTGAAGAATCTGCATGATTGTATACATATTTCTCGCATTGCGAAAAAACAACGGTGCCTTAGACACAGCAAATTTTGAGCAACGTAATCCTCCACTCGAATTTGGACGTCTGGAAGCCTAAATTTGGAATTTGTTTCATTACCTGTTTCTTTTTTTGTAAAAAATAACGAATTTTTGATTAACAAACTCAACGATTTCAAAAAGTGCAATAGCAACACTGTACGGGAAAAAAAAATCGTTTTCATTTCCAGCGAGAGAGACTGTGTATCGGAAATTCTAAAGGTAAGCTGTTTTTAAATATTTTGTGATATTGCTATTGAAAAGAATTTTATGGTTTAAATTCGAAGAACATGATATTTAATAAATAAAGGTAACACACAAAGCGTTAAAAAACGCCAATTTCTGCGTAATATAAAATCTCAAAGCTTTCAGTTTTTTGGGGGATCTTAATTTTTCTTTTGCTAGTTTGTTTCTTTTGTTTAGATTTTACGCACCCTTTTGAACGACCCAGTGTGGGTGTACACACATATATTTATATATAAGAAGAGAGAAATTATTTTTATTTGCCTTGCATGTTTGTATTTATCCTAAAATCTGAATTAAAACTGAGTTTTGTTGCTAACGCAGGAAATTATAGAGCGCCCTGTTTTGATTCTATTCTGCGCTTAGGCAAAATAACAGTTTTCACTTTCGGAAAAAATAAGATACCATTCATTCGCTACGATGAAAACTTCGACACTTTAAAAAAAATCATCCATCATTCCTCTCCCCCTTATTTTTTAAGGGAGACATTTCTTTCAGTAATTTTTGAATCCCCCGCTGATTCACCTGTGTCACCGAACGACAGAGAGCATGCGCGAGTGGGTGGAGCACCTCCTCTCCCGTTTTCTGTACCCAAAGATCAAGCACTGTTGCTTCATCTCGGGCATCCGTCAGTTGCCGGAGCCGCCTCCTTCTGATCGGATGTTCTTACGAGGTATCGTTCTTTCTCACCTCCTCCTTCTCCAAGAAGACATCTATATCTGTCTTATCCTCTCCTGTCATATCTGTCTCGCCGAAACTTAATTGTCACTTCGCTTGTCGGGGAAAGCTCACGCGTCATTGTTTGAGAACTTGAACAGAAATGAACTTGCGGAGAAGTGTATTCTGCCCAACTAGAACATCGCAGTAGGTATGTGATTATATTCTTTTCCCATTCATAGATCTTTAAGACTCGGAAAATGTCTTTCCAGTCAAAAATTGCGTCCCAAACAGATTGAATAGTTATTTTCACGTGAATTCCATATTCTAATTAATCTTTTTATGCAGCTGTTTTTTCCCTCTTGTAATTTTATACAATTTATTTTCCGTATACAATATGGTTTTATAATAATTTTATCATGGCGTATCTTCCAGCTACGGAAATATATATTTAATTCGAAAAGTTCGCAGTGGATTAAAGGTTTTCGCAGCTGCGTTTCGTATTATGATGAAGTATTTGTAGCATTTTCAGCTTTAAAATAGTGCATAAGTATGGTTTAAAGTAATCCATTACTTTAAATGGAATCGCTTAATGATAATTTAATAACGAACTTGTGGTTGTGTATCGATGCTGTGTAATTACTTGTGGTTTTCTAAAAGGATAAATTTTCAAAACGGAAATAATATAGTAAATATACGCAAACATACTATAGTATGGAATCAAATCACCAAGTATAACTTAGAATTTATACTGATAAATCATCTGAGGTATTTATTAGCCCAAACAGTCGTTAAACCCAAAGGGTTATCAGTCTCAAAAAGGTATTTTGCGTCGTTTCACTTTCTGCGTAGTTTCACTTTTCAACATGTTGCCACCAAATATTTTCGCCATGTATTATATTAAACTAAATAATGAAGAATCTGCATGAATGCATGAATGTTTCTCGCACTATGATAAAACAAAGCACCTAGAGCCATCAAATTTTGAATAGCGTAGTCCTCTAACCGAACATAGGCACTTTGAAGCTTGAATTTTGAATTTCGAATTTGTTTTATTATCCATTTCAAATTTTTTAAAACTTTAACGAAATTTTTGATAAACAAACTCAACGATTTCAAAGCGAGCAATAGCAACACTGGATGGGAAAAAAAAAATAACTTTACGGCGAGAGACTGTCTATCGGAAATTTTAAAGATATGCTGTTTTTAAATATTTTGTGAATGTACGCTTACCCGGAGGGCAAGAGAGAAATATAGAAAGAATTTTAAAGAAGATGTTAAAAGGAACTATTGAAATTTGAAAGCTTTTGCAGAGACAATAATGAATATTATAAATACGAACAAAGATAGAGTTGGAATTCGGCACTGAGACACAGACTTTGGACTTTATATGTTTCCCCCCCTTATATTTGTTTTTTTCTGGCCAATCCCATTTTTTAATCGTACGGCCGGCTTGTGCTGACTAGGAGTATCGGGCTTGTGTCCTTATAATAATAATAATAATAATAATAATAATAATGTTTGTTTTAGTTCTTAGTGATGCTAAATACACTTATGTTTAGTGTTTTAAAATAAGAGATAAAAAGATATAAGGTATTTCTCCCGCCTTCCTAGCGTGCCTTCGGGGTGTAGTGGTTCTGCACGCTAGGCCGGTATTCCAGAGGTCCGTGGTTCGATTCCCGGCGAAGGCGGTTGCTAATTTTTCATCTTGGCTGCTTCCAAAATATATCTAATGTCTCTAGAAAGACTATAGGCAGCGTAAAAAAAAATAAATACTGTCATTCCCAAGAAAACATTAAAAAAATTGAAAGATTTCAGATGTTAAAGGTGGCCCAAAAGGATTTGTCAAGATATTTTAAGCTCTTGCTGAGTTCGCAGTCAAGCATTCTACTGTTTCACTCACTCCTGTTAACTTTTTTCCTTTTATTATTGTGTATTTAACTTTATTATTAAGCATCGTTTTCTTCGCAGTTATCCCATATACAATTCAACAACAAAATTACAAAAATTTTAAAAACACTATACAATCAAAAGTCGTTAATTCGGACACCCATAATCCGGAATGATCTATAATCCGGACCTCAAAGCTACAAACTTTCTGCGCATGCGTCGCGTTGACGCATGCGCGTAAGACCTTCACCGCTGCTAATTTGCGTGTGCGCGTGCGCAAAATACGTTTACGAATGCGCGTTTAATGTATAACGGACGGGATAAGCTAAGCTAAAATTATCTAATTATCTATTTCAGTTAATGTTGCAGATTGCATTGTTCCTTAATCTTCGAATTGGATCCGGATTATTATTTTTTGCAGACTGTTAGAGCAATTTTATAAAAGTAAGCTTGAACTTTCGATTATGTCAAATAGAATTTCCGATATATATTTACTAATATGTAAAGGGTATACAAAGCGAAAGTATCTTTCGGAAGTCCATTAAACAAAAAGTGGAATTGCTGCAAAAAAATGGATAAAGGCATATAAACTTTAACGTTTGTTTATCTAAACTTTGTTTATCTTTAACGCCGCGGCGGCGTGCATTGAATTGGAAGTTGATCTGTCAGCACTATCCTTATCTTAAGGGCAGATGTTTTTATTTTATTTGGCTTATAATTGCTTACTCAATGTAGTATTTCATCTCGTCTTTGATATTTAAATCAAATGCCTCGTCATTATAATTCGCTTCCGATAGCGAAGAAAGTGACAGAGGTTATTGAAAACGAAAAAATTGCGATTGACAAATTAGTCGGTATTCTCGACACAGCAGTTATATCACTTGAACAGCGGAACTTTTTAACTGAACAAGAAATTATGTCTGTTTATAGAATTAAAGAGAATATATTATCACATAAAAAACGAAGCAACTTAAACAACTTACATTGAAAGAAATGTTTAATAAAGTAAACAAATAAATATTAAGCTTTTTTTTTTTGTAAATTTTGATACCCTTTAGATCATAATTGTTCTTTATTTCATAAATTACGGTTTCATATTTTTAATTTTATAATTTCTGCATGCCATTTTACCAGATTTAAACTGATGATCTATAATCCGGAAAAATCGATAATCCGGAATCGCCGAAGTCCCGACGAGTCCGGATTAACGACTTTTGACTGTAGCAGTATACGTTTAGAATTCTTGGTGCAGCATTAAATATTAGAATAACATATTTTTGCTTTCCTCCCCTCCCCTCAGTGCGTCATATCAATGTTCGATTTTCTTACTAAGATGGCTTAATAAAACTTTTTTTGTATTTTTTATTATTATCATTTCTGTATGGTTACTTGATTTTTTTATTTATTTACTTTTTCATTTTTGTCTTCCATTTATTTACTTATTTATGTCTTTATAACTTTGTTATTAAGCATTGTTTTCTTCGCACTTATGCCGTATACAATTCGACAGCAAAATCACACAAACTTTAATTAGCAGCATATGTTGTTTAAAATTCCCGATGCAGTCTTAAGTGCATACATTTTCCTTTCCCCCCCCTTTCAATCATTTTTTAGTTCAACACACCGTTGTTAAGTATTCTTAATAAGATGACTTATTTAAAAAACAGCGTATCTTTAGAATTTCCGATAGACTGTCTCCCGCGCTGGAGATATAAATGTTTTATTTCTAACTGCGTTGCCACCACTCGCTTTCAAATTATTGAATCTGTTAATCAAAAACTCTTTAAAATTTTACTAAATATGAAAATAAAAATAAATAAAACAAATTCAAAATTTTGTTTCCCAGATGCACATGTTCGGGTGGAGGACAACGTTTTCCGACTTGTAGATACCATCGTTTTTTCATATTGCTAGAACATAGATACATACATGCAGATTATTTAATTTCTTTAAAAATAATAGAGGTCAATAATATTTGTTGGCAACAATTTGAAAATTGATGCGTCGTTTATAGTGAACAGATGCAAAATCCGAGATTAATGGCCGCTTTGGGGCTAATAACGATATTCGATACTCTTAATATTTTAAAAACCCTTGATCATAAATATTCCTTATTTGAATAACAGCATCTCAAACAGCTCTGAGTAGTTATTAAGTTATAGGAATAAGTTACACGAACAAATGTTGGAATTGGCATATGATTTTAATTTTGTAATTGCATCTTTAAGTAAAATGTAAAATTATGCATTTGATAACTTTATAGCGATAAAATATTTCGTATCATTTTACATGAAGATTTCTTTTTCCTAAGGTGTCTGAAATTTAAGTTGTAAATGAACTTTAACACATGTTGAATCAATACGGTATTTTCTCTTCTATGCGTATGCTACCTTTACACCACGAAGACATCTTCCAGCATGCCTTCGTAGTGTAAAGGTAGCATACGTGACACGTATTCGAAAGGTCCAGGCTCGAGTCCTGGAGAGGGCAGTGCTCATTTTTCATGTTTCCTGCTCTACATTGGCGCCCGAACTCAAAAAAAGGTGGTGGATGATGATTCTTCACCACCAAGATTTGGCGACTGGGTTCCCTAATCTCCCCGTCGCCCTTTAAAAGAGGGAGTATATAAGGTATTTTCTCCTTCCTTCCAGCTTGCCTTCGTAGTGTAAAGGTAGTACACTTGGTGCGTAGTCGAGAAGTTCTGGTTCGAGTCCCGGCGAGGGAGTTGCTCATTTTTCATGTCTTCCGTATCAACAGACTTCAGAACGTATCAAAAGACTTAAGAAATATAACACTGCATGCATAATCTGTATCACGCAGTAGTTGAGCTGGCATAATATTACAAGGAAATGCAACTCAGCTGAAAAATGGAAATTCACTTGTTTGAAGTTATTACATTTTGTACTTCAGATAATATATAAAAAGAGCATGCTTCTTGCTATGATAGAAAGAACCCTTCCCGGCACACTTTAGATTATCGGGGCCCTTTTTAATTCTTTATAAGTAGAAGCTGTGATATATCATTTTGTTCAGGAAGAATAGCCGTTCTTTGAACTTATATCGTAACGATCTCCTTTGCTATAGGCAAATCGATTCAAAGGGTCGATGTATTCATTACCTCTGCGGAGTTTTATGAGTTGTTAAGATGTCTGAGGTGTCTGAAATGTGCAGTTATATTTTGCTAGGACTTGAATAATGTACCCGTTTGCATTGATTTTTTTCATACTGATGCTTTTTGAAACTCCAGTTTTGAATTTTCTTAATAGACTTTTTAACTGAAGTTTCTGTATTTTTCTTTTCTTTTTAGCCCAAAGAGGCAAT